GCTTTTGGAAATCTTATAATGTTCTTGCTGCTGTAAAGAACATTTCTGATTCTTCGGATGAAGTTAAGCAGATGAAACTGAATGGTGTTTGGAAAAAAATGTGTCCCAGTTTGTGAATGATTTCCATGGCTTTGAGGATTCAGTTGAGGTTGTCATCCAGATGTTGCTGAGTTGAGTAAGCAGCTTGATTTGGAGTTGGAGGCTGAGGATGTCACAGAGCTGCTGGCATCTCATGGAGAGGAGCTCTCTAGGAAGGACCTCATTCAACTGAAACAGCAGTTAATTGAAGAGGGAGACATACCAACCCCAGAGCCCAAGAGATTTACAAGCAAGGAAGTGGCAGGGGCCTTTCAACACCCGACCCCAACCATGGCAATCGAAGGGTAGGAGGGAATAGGCGCAGGAACAGGGTGTTGTGTTAGTTCTAGCGGAGTATAATAATGAATTTGATTTACTTTTGAGATGGTAGAACATTGAATATTGTTAAACTATTGAAAGCATGGTCAGCTCAAGATGTGGAGTTTTATGCCACACTGGCACAGTTTTTCCAGTAACACCTTGGTCTAGAACAGCCTTGTTGGATATTGGAGATACTAGAGAAGTGAGGTTTCACTCTAACTGTCTCACTCATGATTCACTTCATGTTACATTTGCCCCATAACAAAGTGAAATATTAGTATAAGGGAAAGTGGGTGTGGTGTTCATGGGTATTCACAATTTTTCTGTAAATCTGGAACTATTCTAAAATAAAATATCCCGTACAACAAAACAAAAAAATAAATAAATATTTCCAAATTAAACTTCAAAGACAACATAGGGTAGTTTCTTTCATAAAATAGAATTATTTTCAGAATTTGAAAAATTATGCTTTAGTATATATTTGTAATTGTAGAGTTAGCTATGTGGCAACTGTAAATTTTGACCTTTTATGTTTAGGAGGAATCTTCATCTCTATTGTGAGAGCCTGTGTGATATATACACTAAGCCTCCTTTGTTGAAATGCTCCCCACAATCTGGGCAGACAGAGTATGAGCAAATATGCAAAACAGGACGGTACTACTTAGGACTTTGAATGTTGGATTCCAGCAGTAGTGGTTCAGGGAAGACCCAGTGTTGGCAAACAGTTGTTTTTACTAGGCAAACATAGTCTTGGCTATGTTTCGTGCTATATAACGTCTAGTCCTTTCTTGTTCATTTCTGAGATTGCTTCCACAAACTTTCCATCAAAAATGTTGATAAAGTTAAATGCTTCTAATTGTTACTTTTGGCTCAGGTTGGTCAAAATTAGTTTTTCTTGCTGGCAAAAAAGTATCATCACAAAAGTTGTCTATAATGGTTACTAGAAGAATGAATTTTGTGAGAACATACAAGAAATATTTTCAAGAGAAAAATAATCAGAAGTAGCTCTATCAAACAAAATATATTCAAATACTTAAAAATTAAAATACCTTGATATTTTAAAAAAATATGTAGAGATACAGACAACAGAATGGTGATTGCCAGAGGGAAAGGAGTGGAGATGAGGAGAGGTCAAAGAGGATAAAGGGGAGATAAATGGTGATGGAGAAGACTTGACTTTGGGTGGTGAACACACCATACAATATACAGATGATTGTTATTAAATTTTACACTTGAAGCCTATATCATTTTGTTAACCAATGTCACCCCAATAAATTCAATTGAAATTTTAAAAACTAAAAGAAGTAAAGTTATATATAAACAGTAAATGAAACAAAATAGCGTGTAGTAATAGCTGTATTACTAAGTGCCATAAATAATATCATTTGTAATGGTAGAACTGTTTATTTTAAGGAAATACAGATTATTAAATCTGTGGAATTGGTTGTACAAGATGAATTTGTATCTGTATGCCAGTTCTGACACCTTAATAAATTTCAGTTGGGTCAAACATTCAATTTAAAAAGATTAGGGGGGAACTAAAAAAACTTGAAATATTTCTATGATTTGGAGTTGGAGAGTTCTTCCTAAGCATGATGCCATAATGGATAGATTTATTGAACAAAAAATGTTTAGCCCCAACTGGTTTGGCTCAGTGAATTGAGCATCGGCCTTGGGACTGAAAGGTCCCAGGTTTGATTCCAGTCAAGGGCATATGCCCAGGTTGTGGGCTTGATCCCCAGTAGGGGGCATGCAGGAGGCAGTTGATCAATGATTCTCTCTCATCATTGGTGTTTCTATCTCTCTCTCCCTCTCCCTTCCTTGCTGAAATCAATAAAAATACATTTTTTAAAAAATGTTTAGAGTTGATACAGCAAAGAAAAACCACACTAAGCATTAAATTAAAATTCCAAAATGGAAAATATGTATAACAACTATGACAATAAAAGATTAATTTCTTATTAATCAAAATATTGTTAGAAATAAAAATATAGATATATTAATAACCAAGCAGAAAAATAAGCAAAGGCATACACAAGTAGTTCAAAGGAATGGAAATATTCTGCAACAACTCTACAATAGTAATGAGACACCTTACAGATTGGAAAAGTTTCAAAGTAATTAGGTGGCAGGTGACATAATACTGCGTATAGAGAACCCTAAAGATTCCACCAAAAAAACTATTAGAACTAATAGGTGAATTCAGTAAAGTGGCAGGATACAAAATTAATATTCAGAAATTGGTTGTATTTTTAGACATTAATAACCAATTACCAGAGAGATTAATAAAGTAATCCCATCTACAATTGCATTAAAAAATACAGTACCTACAAAATCTCTTCAAGGAATGGTGCTGGAAAAACTAGACAGCCACATGCAAAAGACTGAAACCGAATCTCTATCTTACACCATGTACAATAACCAACTCAAAATGGATTAAGGACTTGAAACTAAGACCTGAAACCATAAAACTCCTAGAAGAAAACAGGAAGTGAATTCTTCAAATCATTCTTAGTAATATTTTTTAAATATGTCTTCTTGGGCAAGAGAAACAAGCAAAAAAATAAACAAATGGGACTATATTTAACTAAAAAGGTTTTGCCCAGCTAAAGAAACCAACAAAATAAAAAGATAATACACTGAATGGGAGAACATGTTCACCAATCATATATTTGATAAGGGATTGATATACAAATACGTAAGACTTGTACAGCTCAACACTAAAAAAATATAAAATAACACACACACACAATCTGATTTTAAAAAATGGGCAGAGGACCTGAATAGATATTTCTCCAAAGAGGACATACAGATGGCCAATAGGCATATGAAAAGATGTTCAATATGACTATTCATCAGGGAAATGTAAATTAAAACAACAATGAGATATCATCTCATACCTGTAAGAATGTCTATTATCAATAAATCAAGAAACAACTGTTGGCGAGGATGTGGAAAAAAAGTGAACCCTCATTTGCTATTAGTGGAATTGTAAATTGGTAAAACAGTATGGAGGTTTCTCAGGAAAGTAAATATAGAACTACCATATGACCAAGCAATTCCACTTCTGGATATTTATCTTAAGAAATTTAAAACACAATGGGGGGGAGAGGACATATTTAATACTTTCAACAATAAAGATTTATAAAATTAAATTAAAAAATAAAAGCAATGGGGGAACAAAAGGATTTCTTACCCTTTGAGACAGCATGGAGGGACCTGGAGAGTATCATGCTAAGTGAAATAAACCAGTAGAGAAAGACAAGTATCGCATGATCTCACTCATATGTGGAATCTAATAAACAAAATACTGTTGAACAAAATAGACCCAGAGATATAGAAGTATGGAACAGACGCTGAATCTCAGAGAAAAGGCCAGGGTAGGTGGATGGTGGAAAGAGATCAACCCAAAACCTTGTATGCATAGATACATAACCCATGGACACAGACAATGGGATGGTGGAAGCCTGGGTTGTGGCGTGGGGGCGGGCTATAAGGGGCAATGGGAACAAAAAGGGGACATATGTAATATTTTCAACAATACAGATTTAAAAAAGAAGTTATATGCATATTTAAACTCATTGCAGCATATTTTACAATAGCCAAGATATGGAAACAATCTATTGACACTGAATAAAGAAGTGGTACATATACAGTGGGGCCTTGACTTACGAGTGTCCCGACTAACGAGTTTTTCGAAATACAAGCCATCTCTCGGCCGATTTTTTGCTTTGAGTTGTGAGCTAAAATTCAGGTTATGCGACAGCTTCAGATACCCCACCGCTAGTTGGCGCAGCGAACGTCACAGTGAACGCCACAACATCAGCCCAGCATCATGTGTCTCACTCGTTCACTTTTTATTTGACATATGAGTAATTTGAGATATGAGCTCCGTCACAGAACGAATTAAACTCGTAAGTCAAGGCCCTACTGTATACAATGAAATATTATTTGGCCATAAAAATAACCAAAATATTGCCATTTGTGACAACATGGATGGACTATGCTAAGTGAAATATTTGTCAGAGAAAGCCAAATACCATATGATTTCACTTATATGTGGAATCTAAAAATGAAAAGAAACAAACAGAAGAACAAATTGATGGTTTGCAGACTGAAGGGAGTTTGGGGAACTGGGTGAAAAAGTTGAAGAGATTAAGAAGTACAAATTGGCAGTTATAAAATAGTCATGGGGATGTAAATGTGCATAGTGAATACAGTTAATAATATAATAACTATGTCTGGTGTAAGATGGGTATTAGACTTATTGGGACGATCACTTTCTAAGTTATATAAATGTGTAATCACTATGTTGTACACTCAAAACTAATATAACATTGTATGTCAAACATAATTGAAAAATAAAAAACAAATAAATACATTTCAAAATAATTAGGGTGGATTTAGGAGAAACATACTTTTTATTTTTTTGCCAATGAGAGTCTAATTAGAAGAATACATTTCACATATTGTAGAATGCATTTAAAGCAGAGAAAACCACATTTTTAATTCAAAAACGTTGTAAAATCATCAATTAATAAAGCATTTTATTATTATTTATATAAACACAAAACAAACAAAAGGGAGATTTAAAAACAAGCTTCAATTAATATACGACCTAGTGTAGTATTCTAATGGAAGTTACTTTTAATTTTCCAAATTAATCCCGATACATCTTAATTTCATGAAAATATATACAGATACAAATAATTAAATTTTATAAAATAAAAATTTACCTTTAAAATTAAACATGTCAATTGTTAACTCAGGAAAATATCAACCCCCTTAAACAAAGATGCCCAGAGTTGGTCAAAATGCTATTAAAACAATTAATATTTATTAAACATATATTTTATGTTCTTCATATGATTTTATGTGGTATAAGTATCATTATTATCTCCCTTTACAGGTTATGAGACATTAAGTCCTTTGCCAAGTTCACACCACTAACAATTTGTAGGACTGGCATTAACACTGGTAAAAAGATACATGGGCCTAAGATTTTACTACACTCTGTGTGGGGAGAGGTTCTGCAGAACCTAAAACTTATAAATTATGAGGGAACTTCTGTAAGAAAAGAAAAAGAGTAAAAATAATGAATAAAAGGTTGTGAGGGCCCATTCCATGATCCTGGGGGAAACTCATGCAAAGAAGAGAAGATGAAACGTACAGCATTTTTTTTCCTCAAACATTTTTGGAAGTATACATCATTTGTAGTTTTTATTTCCATTGTATTTACATAATTCCATCACATAATTACAATTATATTTTATCTGTTTTCATGTAATACCTGATTTTTAAAAATTTTATCTTTATTGTTGAAAGTATTACAGATGTCCCTTTATTTGCCCATTGGTCCCCTCCACCCCACACCCACCCCATGCCTGATTTTTCCTATCTGCATCAATTCTTCTGCTTAATTTTACAAGACAGTTTTTCACAATTTTTAAAAGCTCATAGGTTTGGCATTACCAAACTTCATGGCTCTCAAAAATCTAAAAGAAACTGAATGCTTATCAACATAGTTTTTTTGTAAAGTCTTCCTTAGTATCTCAATACTCCTTCAATAGTGTTATTGGAAATTTAGACCATTTAAAGCTTTCCTCTACCTGGTATGTTCATCTGGCATGCTTTGCAAAACATTATTCTACCTTCGGATGCCCTGGTGGCAATTAACACCATCTTTACCGCAGTTTAAGTAGCCGATGGCCATGTCACTGTATTTATCCTTAGTAAGAGGATCAGCAGCATGTTGAGATGACATAGTGATAAAATCATCCATCTATCTGTACCTCCTGATTGGGTAAGTTTTAGGTGTCTATTTAAAACTAGAGGCCCAGGGCACAAATTCATGCACAGGTGGGGTCCCTAGGCCTGGCCAGCAATCAGGGCCTATCAGGGCCTGCTGGCTGCTGGATGGAGCCTGGTGGACAGGGAGAGGACTAAGGGGGAGGGACCACAGGAGGTTTGCCGGCCAGGGGGAGGGACCAGGGTAGGTTGGTTGGCCATGGGAGGTTGGCAGTGGAAGCACACTGATCACCATTGAGCGTTTGCCTCCTGGTGGTCAGTGCACATCATAGCGACTGGTCGACTGGTTGTTCCAGTTGTTCTGGTCATTCGGTTGTAACCATCACTTAAGCGTTTATATATATAGACTAGAGGCCCGGTGCACAAAAATTTGTGCACTCGTTGCTGACTACTTAGTTTCATTGCTGACTTGCTTCACAGAGTTGTCTGCCATTCAGTCATACCTTTGAGGGTTTTGGCAAACATGTCCTTGACTTTTATAAATCTCCACACAAGCACTGAAGACTGATGATATCCCCTTAAAAAGACTCCAGTTTTATATTGAAAAACAAACAAACAAAAACCCACATACCTCAATTCATTAAAGAATACATTTCCTTTTCAAATAAATATTATTTGAAATAATTACTGGGGGCATTTATAGCATAGCAGTTCAACATTTCTACATAAATGAGTTCCATGATCTTGAACATTTTTGCACATGTAACTAAAATTGAGATAAAGTCCACATACACAACCTAAATTGGTCCATTAATATCACCATTTCCAGAAGAATTATACTTTTATTTTGAGGATATAAACATGTTTCATTCTCAAATTAATACTGTAGACATTTTACCCAACAATTTTCATTCTCAAATTAATACTGTAGACATTTTACCCAACAATTCCAAACACGACTAGTTTTTTTTTATTGTTTAAAGTATTACATATATCTCCTTTTTCCCTGATTGCCACATCTGCCCCCCAGGACAAGCCCCCACTGACCCAGTGTCCATGTCCATTGGTTATGCTAATATGCATACATACAAGTCCTTTGGTTGATCTCTTACGCCCCTCTCCTGCCTTCTCTCTGAGGTTGGATGGTCGGTTCAGTCAAACATGACTAGTTTTGAAATACACTGTCAAAACTTTTAAACTGTAAAGTTGTTTCCTTGTTTGCTCAACACATTAATGAAGAAAAGAAAAACACTGATTAAGAAAAAACACATTTTTTCTCATATAGTTTAAAATGAAAAGTAATGAATTTCTTTCTTTAACTTCTTTCTCATCAGTGATAATTAGTGCATATATACTTCTTGGTTTTCTCTTTTTACTCAATAATGCCAGAAAAAAAATAACAATTTGATATTTATCAAATACTATGGTTGCAACAGGTCCTCGCTCTTGTGGATATGAGTTGGATGATATACTGGACCTCATACTTTATAAATATAGCTTACCAAATTCTAAATAACAGTTAATTCTTTAATGGTTACCATCATTTAAAGAAGATAATCTGTGAAACAAGGCATCCAGAATTATTTGACCTTCAATGCTTGCAATTCCAGTACTAAACAGCAGGTGGTAGTAATACCTTGTGTACCTTAAAGCTAATCTTGAACCTAGCATTTAAAATGATAACAAACAACAAAAATAACAAAAAAACCTGATTGTATATAGAAACATGCTTACTACAATAACTGTGTATTACTAAGCACAAAATTCTTATTTTTGCATCCAAATATTAAAATGAAAATGTGGTTTAACCAAAGTGTAAAGCAATATAATACTTTTAAATGAAAGCATAGGCTCCCCATAATTTTACTTATTATCATAAATGGTATCTCTTAATTTAATTCTAGCTTTAACTTCCCAGACATTAAGCAACCATGGTTTTTGTTTAAAACAAATTGTACTGCTTTGAAAGTCGTTTCAAAATATTTTCTGATTTGCTGAATTCTCCAGGCTCTTTATGCATTCTGCATTATTAGAAGGAGTTTTGGCTGCGTTTATTTCCTTGCTAACTAAAAGTGAGCGGTGGAGATTCCTCTACTTATAGCATTTCCTTTGGAACTCATCAACATTTGTAATGAAATAAAGCAAGGACTTTCTTTAACAGAAGAGATCACAATGATTTAAATGTTAAGTAATAACAGAGATATATGTAGAAAATCACGATTTGTCAGAAGCTACTCCTATGGCAGTATTGAGTTTCTAAGGCTTATAGATGTAGAAATTTACTAATTTTACTCAATTCTCTGAGTAACTCAGTTGTTAGTGTTATGTAAATATTATCTACTAGTTTCCTTTTTATCTATAATTCCTCTTCTCATTTTCTTTTATCAGTGAACAGGATATTAATCTTGAATTTCCTAATGGGAAAAGTCACCCAAGGATATGTTTATTGATTTTAGAGAGAGGAAAGGAGGGAGATGAGAGGAGAAGAGAGGAGAGGAGAGGAGAGAGAGAGAGAGAAGGGGTGGAACATTGATGTGAGAGAGAAACATTGATTGGTTGCCTCTTGTAAAATGTAGTTACTTCAGCCAGGGACAGAATGTGAAACCTAGGTATATGGCCACTAGGAATTGAACCTGTGACTTTTTGGTGTATGGATAATGCTCCAACTAACTGGGTCACTCTGGCCAGAGCACTCTTAGCATTTTTATAAATATTCTTTGCTTCTAGAAGAAGTTGCTTTTGTCAACTTGCTTTTCTAAAATTTAAAATGTATTTTAAACATATTCATATTTAAATATGAACTTACCTTGTACTTTCACAAATTTTGGCAATTACGGTTTAATAAGAAGTAAGAGCATAGCACATGCTGTGTATACACAAATTGTGGTACTTAATGCCTAGGATGCTAAAAATAAAAGATAACCAAACTAGAAGTTAACTAAAAAGAATGCAGAGGAGCTGCCTTGTTGGAATTTAGAAGTCTATTTTTCAATTTTCTCATGGCTGCCTTCACTTCTTGGTTTCTTAATGTATAGATTATTGGATTCAGAATGGGAGTAAAGATGGTATAAAACACAGACAAGATCTTATCTACTAAAAAACTGCTTAGTGGCCACATATAGATGAAGATGCATGGCCCAAAGAACATGAAGACAACAATGAAATGAGCTGTGCAGGTAGAAAGAGCCTTAGATGACCCTCTTGAAGAATGATTCTTGATGGTAACCAGGACAATAACATAAGAATTAAATAAAAGAATAAAGCAGGACAAGGCAATTATGCCACTTGTTGAGATCATAAAGAGGCCTAGGACATAAGTATCCACACAAGATAACTGGAACACCACAGGAAGGTCACAGAAAAAGCTCTCTACATTATTGGGACCACAGAATGGTAAAGTGAGAGCAAATATGACCTGACTCATTGAATGCATGACTCCCACAACCCAGGAAGCCACCACGAGGGCAACACATACCTGGGGATTTATGATTGAAGCATAGCGGAGAGGCTTACATATTGCAATGTATCTATCAAAGGACATAGCCATAAGTAAAATGATCTCTGTACCAGTAAAAAGGTGTAGAAAAAAAATCTGAGTGATGCAGCCATCAAAGGAGATGGTTTTGTGTCCAGTAAGGTAGTCTGTAATCATCTTAGGGGTGGCAAAGGAAGCAAGAGACATATCAATGATGGAAAGGTTGGTAAGCAGGACATACATAGGAGAGTGTAGGTGAGCGTCAGCTATGACTGTGATGACTATGAGGCTATTACCGACCATTGTTGCCACATAAAACAATGAAAACACCACGAAGAAAAACATCTGTAGTTCCCAGGAATCAGAGAGTCCCAGCAAAACAAATTCAGAAACAGTAGATTTATTGGCCACATCCATTGTCCTGAATGATAGGTGGAAGCCTGTAGTAAAAAAAAAAAAAAGGCAAGAGAAAGTATGAGTCTATTGCAGCAAAATATACATTTCCAAGAATTCACTTTCTTAGCTTTGTTTCCTCTATGAGAACTTATATTTAATATTCTTTCCAACTTCATTTGATACAATGATTTGAAAGATAATTCTAAGGCAGTGGTTCTCAACCTGTGGGTCACCACCGCTTTGGGGGTTGAACGACCCTTTCATAGGGTTGTTAGACCATCAGAAAACACATATATAATTACATATTAAAAACAATATGTAATTAATCACTATGCTTTAATTATGTTCAATTTGTAACAATGAAAATACATCCTGCATATCAGATATTTACATTACGATTCATAACAGT